GTATTTGTAACAGTCATGGAGGAGAGTTTGGTGAGGCTCCGAGAGTGTGCGTGAACACGAAGCAAACCTTGCTATCCATAAGCGGACGAAAAGTAGATGTTCGTATAAATAAAACAGCCACATACACAGGCGTGCGTAGTCACATGCAGCCCAGCAGTAAAGAGAGCCATGAGAGTTTGCAACTCGAAAGAAAATCGTTTTTCCCTTCGGAGTGCATCGCTTTCAACTTGAACAATATCAGCGCCACTGCTCTACTCTTTGCTTGACAATGCGTCTATCGCTGACCATGTGCTTATTTTGCACAGCTGCCGCTCCCTCAAAATGAAAACGTTTTGCTAGGACGGTTCCCCTCCTGTTTTAATGAAAAAAATTGGAAAAGGCAAAGTTCGACTAGTGAATTGTCACTTATTTTTGAATTTTTTATTGTCATGATCTCGCAACACCCGTATACCACTTTCCATCTTCCTGCTCGATCCGGAGAACTGCATTGTTTGCGAAAAAAAAATATTTTTTTCAGTGAGTCGAAGTTGGCAAGGCTGGTATCCGAATTAAAATGGGAAAATTTCCAGAGAAACACTGTACCATTTGGCGAACGAGCTGTGTTGAAAACGGACTGAAATCTAAAATTTTTTTTCTCCTGTGTTGAATTCTTTTCCAGCCGTCCTCGAAAAATTGAACCAGCAATTTTTGGTTGAAAATTCCGTCAGTCTCATCAGCATACTACAGAACACTTCGTGGGAATACCTGGGCGTGTTTGTGACGCACGTACGTGCAATAAGATCGGTCATGTAATTTGTTGCCTAAATCGATGCCATGAAACGGAATAAAACTACCCTGTCTGTAGTTTTAGATCTCTAATATCTATAACGTTATATTTTAGACACCAGCATTTGAAGGAGATGTCAACCTTTTTGGTGCTGAGTCGATTGCCATCCATGTAGCTGGCTGTGCAAGTGGGTGCGCCAAGAACGTGAGTACGTTTGTTCCATCGTGATCTTGCTTTCTTCTTGTATCTCTATCGCTTTCTTTAAATCATTTGTCTAGTGCGCGGAAACCGTACAATGGCTCCAGTGGGCTGAAGGCAGTTTGCTTCCAACAGTACTTGGATACGTTCTTCCGTCAATTTCGGCAGCGCATCTTGACAAGAAAGTAAGTCACCGTTTTCCACAGATTTGCCAAGAAAAAGTTCCATTGCCATCGTAGTAGCGCAGCGTTTTTATTATTACAGGTTGTCGACATGTACAAGGCGGAACTCCTTGCTCAACTAACCCACCTTGACGAAATCCTTCTTTCGAAAACCTTTCTCGTTGGAGAGCGTCTCTCATTGGCTGATGTTTCTGTGGCTCTAGACCTGCTTCCTGCCTTTCAGGTTTTTGAGTTTTATATCTACTCATCCATCATCCTCTAATTATATCACTTTTAGCATGTTCTCGATGCATCCATCCGCAAAAAGTTTGGAAATGTCACGAGGTGGTTCCAAACTGTCGTTCATCAGCCTATCGTCAAGGACGTTCTAAAGGAAGTGCATCTCTGCGACAAAGTATCACAGTTCAATCGTGAGTTCCAATCTATATTCCATATTTTTCAAATTTGGTCAATTTTGTTGGTATCTTCCAGAAGCAAAGTTCAACGAAATATCGTCGAAGCACCAGCACCATGCAAAGCATGCTCCAAAGAAGGAAGGTTGGTTAACTGTTCGTTGTGTGGCAGCAGATCTATGTAATATGTACAGAGAATCTACCATACCGCCTTTTACCAGGTGTCTGGATCGTGCAAAGCTCTACCAGTCAATTTTGGCAATGAATGCTACTGCGATCTGAATTATTCTATCTGAAATTTCGGAAGTAATCATGTCCTGTCCAAGTGAGGGATATGATTAAACCCAAACTTAGCCTGCCACGCCTCATTTGCTAGTGTTTTTGCTAGTTTACGGAGCTGGGAATAGGATAGCGCAGTAACTTAAGCGTTTTCACAAAGTTTTCTCATCAGTTTATGGCGTTGACTAACATAGTGTTCCTCGTTTATTAATTCGTGCTGCACGACGACGTTCAAAACATCCGTTTCAAAAGGCTATGTATCATTCGTGCGACTCATGCGATCGCGCGTTCGATGCTATCCGTTCCACACCTGAACTGCAAGCCAACCTGCAAAGTATGATTCGACCTTAGCGATCGACTTCACTTGTCTAAATTGAAAGACTAGATGAAATTCCCTTTACTAACAACCAAATAGATGGGTGCAGAGTGTCGTTGCACTCACAATTTCCATTCGGATTCGGCAGTTCCTCTTCTGTATACTTATCTCTAGCACACAGCGGTCGGCTGCAATTTCCTGAGTGAGCAGCTTTCTCTCAAGACAAGTCAGGTCTAAATCCCCTATATATGAATCAGTAGTTTGGTGTGTTTTTTCTGTCTCCAGGAGTCTATGGCTCGCTAATAGATCCAAGAAAACAGATAGGACAGGATCTCGGATGAGTGGGATGTTGTCCCTAGGGTGTGTGCGATTGCGGGCAGGGCTTAACTGAAAGTGGGTATGGAGCAGGGGGGGCTGCGCCAAAAATCTGTTTATAATATTGGTTTCCCTATACGACGTCGATACCAAACTCTATAGCTCTAAACTGAATAGGTGGAGGAAGATGGCAATAAAACGCTGCGAAAGAAGGAAACAGTGCATGTGCCACCTTTTAGACTTGCGCACCCTTTTAAAGCTCATAGAGAAGTCCACCGCTGCAAGAATGATGAAGGAGGCACGGTATAACATATGCAGCGTGGAGTGCTTGGGAAAGAAAACGAACTTGAATTGAGTGGAGCGATATAATTCAGCGATTACTGTGCTGTGTAGATGGGAGCAATGTGCGGCGTGAGTCGTGCATCCCAACTCACAAAGAGGAGTAAAGCTCAGCGTAGCCGGCGATACGACTGGTTAACCCGAAAATGGAAATTGGTAGGCGTGAGCGGTACTTTAGAATCCTTGCTCCAACCTGCGCTGTGTAGTATTGATAGGATTTATTTGTCTTTACTGCCCTTGAACTAGTAATGTATGGTTGATTTTTGTTACCGACACCACTACGCAGTCAGCAGTCCAATATATGTCGTTGGTTTTGCGTTACCGCAGTGGTATATCATTGGTTTTCGATGCTGAATGAGGAAAACACTGTTTTGGTGTTTTCTTCAAGATTGTCGGAATGCCTCATAGAATTCGCTTGAATAGACTGTATCGATCTTGCTATGATCACTGATACGTGTCTTAAGTGGAATCTGCACATTTATTCGAAGAAGATGCAGTTTTCCAATGCTGTTCTTTAGAGTGAAAGGAATGATTCGACCCTCATTTTAGCAAAATTCATTATAAAAACTTGATTGAAATACTATGCATTGCAACTGCTAAATTTTAGAGAAGAAAAAGGATCATCCGAAGCCTGCTCCCAAGGCAAAAGAGGCAGAAGTTGATGACGGCGCCGATGACGGCGTCGTCGTTGAGAAATCGAAGGATCCATTCGCAGATATGCCTAAAGGAACGTTCGTGATGGACTCATTCAAGCGAGTGTATTCGAACGAAGACACTGCAACGAAGGCAATTCCCTATTTTTGGGACAACTTCGACGCCGAAGGACGCAAAAGCATTCTTTTTGAGTTTTTCCAGCCGTTGGTACATACCTGCAATAATGTTCCAAAGAATTCAACACTAGTGGGTGTTTCTCGAAAATGCGACAGGAACTCTAAAGCTTGGTGCTATACAAGTGGGGTGGGCACGCCCAGCTTTTCACGCATGTCAAGTGACTGCCCTCACCCCCACCCCCTAGATTGGCTACACTCCCCCTGGCTCACGAATTCCCCGATTCTCGTGACAGTATAGTAGCGGGCAGCAGTCCCACTTACATACATTTCTGTTCAAAAATGCGGCGTGCCCACCCTACTTGTATAGCACCAAGCTTTAGAGTTCCTGTCGCATTTTCGAGAAACACCCACTAGTGTTGAATTCTTTGGAACATTATTGCAGGTATGTACCAACGGCTGGAAAAACTCAAAAAGAATGCTTTTGCGTCGATGATTCTTTTCGGAACCGACAATAATTCAACAATCAGCGGTATCTGGGTCTGGAGAGGCCAAGAGCTTGCTTTCCCTCTGTCTCCTGACTGGCAGGTAGGTATATGACATTGTGGGCGAGCCTCTGGGAAGAAAAGTCATTTGGACCGTTCTTTAACTGTTCAGTGTTACATTCTTCCAAAATAAATGCTTCATCTCGTCGGACGGAGTCGTTCAGTTGTTCCGTCCTCCATAATGTTTGCAACACTTTTGTCCGAGTTATTGACAAAAGTTGGCGTTCCGTGGTCGCTTCTCTAACTCACCACTTTCAGGTGGATTACGAATCCTACACGTGGACAAAGCTCGACCCTAAGGATGAGAAAACGAAGAAGATGGTAAACGAGTACCTTATGTGGGAGGGCGACTTTGACGGAAAGAAATTCAACCAAGGGAAGATTTTCAAATAGATTGTTTTATGTTGAGGTCATTGTTGCGTTGTTGTTTTGTAGAGATAAATGTAATTCCCGGTTTGGAACCGTGTTTTTTTTCATCATCTATTTCTTTTCTGGCAAACCGCCCGCTTCGTAGCGTCACTACCGGGGTGAGAGGTTGAGTTTTCGATTTCTCAGAAGTCATATGTTGGTTTTTTGGTAGGAGGTCAGCTAGGAATTAGGGAAAAAATTTTCCTGGTCTTGCAAAGGGTTTACACCTTTTGTGGGGTTTTTCTTCAAGAGGTATTTTCTTTATTGCATCTACTCAAAGGAATTCCTGGGGCACGAAACAATCATGGGACTCGGATAGGTAAGGCTGTGACACCAATCGCTAGCCGTTCAAACTGTGACACGGGTACGTGATGCGCAAGCGTCGTCATTGTTCGAATTGATGGGGAAGGGGGCAGTCTGCTAGCAGTTGGCCACGAAGTCGTCTATTCGCGTAAGGGTTTAGACGAGCAGGATGTCGCAAGTGGATTGTTTACAAAGAAAAGGTCCCAGGAAGATGAAGTAATGGGGCGTCCATTAGTGGGATCGCATTCGAAGTGACTTGCAGCCATTACTACGGCGGCAGGGAGACATGGAGGGACTGTCATTGGTTCGCATGACTGACTAATAAAGACTAAGCTTCATTCTGAGCGAATTCACGGCAGAAACTGTGTTGTAACAATTGTGGAACAGCCTGTATATACTGCGCAGAATTACCTCCACTTATGAATTTTCAACAAACACATCAAAAAAAAGTTTACGAGAAAGAGTTGTTAGAAGTGAGAGGATTTTGAACTGCGACTCAGGGTTCCAGATATCAACACAAATTCTCACTTGAAAATGACGAAGTTTCTATTCCTTTTCCTTTCGGGAAATGTCGCTCGCCCTATTCCGCAAAATCATGCTTCCACCACATGTTTTTGCGCTTCACTCTCTTTTGGCGAGAGATTTTTACTTATTACCACATCTCTTCCTTATGTGATGAGGAAACCATCAGGCAGGTGCTAAGCCTGTGGCGTTGAGGAATCCTCAAAGGGTGGACAGTGGGGGGATCAGGAGAGGGATGCGTTATGGCGGGCTGCTGGAGGTCCGCGGCTGGATAGATGCCTGTAGCGATCACACTTGTCGGAAGACAACACATCAAAGGTAGCTAATCGTATGAGAAGGGCACTTTCGTTTGTTACTTTTGGTGTTACTTCAGTGTTTATTTTCAACGTAGTTTAAAAATCCGAAATTCGATGTTTTCAAGGCATCTTAGGTTCTCTTTCTCTCAACAGCAAAACAGTAACAGGTCCATCAGGCAGGGTTTCAACTACTTGGTCATTAGGCGGTCAAAACATGCCCCAGCCCAACTAAAGTTTATAGGAAATGTCTTTAATTTCAAAACCTACCTCTAAAATGCGCTGGAAGGGGTCGAAGTCCTCTTGGAGGGGGCGGATCACCCATAAAGAGGCGGATCGCCCAACATACGCTGTGCAGAGTCCGCGCTTGACTAGCGGTCGTTGCGGGACCGCCGCGCTGTATGAGGTCGATTCCATAAGAACGCAATTGAAGCGCTTCAATTTCGATTGCTGGCAAGTAGTTATGTATTTGCAAGCATGCAGCTATTTGCCAGCAGTTGCAATTAAAGCGCATGTACTACGGGCAGGTTCGGACAACTCGTCCAACACACGTCTCCCTAAACGGCAGGGCATGTCCCTGTCTAAGCCCCAGTTGGGCGTTTTCTTCACTTTTTCTCTTTACGTTCGACCACTTTTCACCTAAAACTTCCATATAGGTGCTTTTGGCCCGCAAATTCGTTCCTGGACTGTTGCTTTAATAGGCATCGATCTGAAGTGGCGATAAACGTAAGCACATGCGCGCGTCCAAGGCAGGGTGAATTTATGCGGTCGAGTAATTCTCGACAGGGCGGGGTCGTACCTGCGCGGCTGGTGCGTGGGGTCGGTGACTATTGCGGGCGTCAGTTTAACAGCCAGTGGTTTAATCGTGGCTGAGTGTACGGTAAGAGGGTATAAGCCGCGAGGCCAGAAATATGAAAATTATCTTGAAAAAAAAAACATGATGTGAGATTGGTCGTACCTTGCAGGTTCAGTATTCGCTCACCGTTTCATGAGAAGGGTGGCGGCAGTATTTGCGGAAAAGTATAAAGAGATGAAAGGGGATTCCGCAAAGAAGACTGCCATGTGGCGAGCGCTCGCTGCAAAAGATCACACTTGCCTTCTGGCCTATCGCTCGCGACATCCTTGCTCCGTTAATATCGTCGGCTGAGAATGACACTGTTGTTAGGGACACTGTGTTAGGAACCTGTCGTAAAAACGACAAACCGTGAAGGAAAAGCCCTGGGCAAATGAAGTTGTTCTTCAGGTTGTAGGAGTTACGAAATGCGTTTACTACAATGCAGCTTCTGTCAACTGGTCATGATCATATGACACCTTCGAATCGATTCTGCAACTTCGAGTGAGGTCGGATGCATGGCCTATACTCAGACAAAATTCGATGATGACGATTGCCCCTTTTCCTATTGCTTATGTTGGGAGGATGTTTTCTAGACCCATTTCAAGCGTTGCCAACAATTACACTTGCAATGGTGAAGAAGGGAGCGGATTTTCAGGTGGCCGGATCCGTCCTCGATACATACTCGACGCAGATATCTTCTCAACTAGGAAATGTAGAAGAAAGCTAAGAAGACCATCAGAAAGCGCAAACCTTCCGCTTTCCAAAACTATCTTCCCTTTTTCAGGACCTTACGACATTAGAGAGATATTGCTTTTGAAGTGGCAAAAACTAGCATGAAAATTTCAGCGTCCTCGACGTTTACTCGACGAAATTTGAGAGACCCTATCTTTCTGCATGGAAGACTTTCAGAGCAATTTCAATACTTCTTGGAAACGCGAAATCCAGCTCTATCTAACCCTACCTCAAACTGCTTCAAAGGTTATGAAATGGAGGAATGCAACCTTTTCATCGAGGGTGTAGATTCGGACGGTTTTTTTTTTCGAAATTTCAGGCAAATCTGACCCAGTGACAATCGCGCCGCAGCTGCCGTTGAATCGGCCTTTGATTGATACACTCGGCTGTTTCGATATACTCAAGCAAGAATCAAGATTGAATCGCAACCCCGTGCCTTCAGGATTTCTGTGCATTTCTGAACGAACCTGACTTTGAGGTCACACAAAGTTAATGCCTCTTTCCTCGAGTCGATATTTCAGTAAATACACAAAAGTGTGCAGCGATGAAAGACGTGCATAGATGACAAGATGAAGCGTCCTTAGCATTATTTTGCAGAATTTTTTTTGATTTGTTTTGCAGGATTTATTTTAATTGAATTAATTTGCTCTGTTAGAGGGGGTCGTGCCAGGATCTCGATTTCGGGGGGGGGGGGTCGTACCTCTGCGACCACGTACTCGACACGATTTTCACCCTGCCCAGAGGTGGACCAGGCATTGCGTGCGCTTCAACTAGCGGCTTACCAGGAAAGGTCATTTGGTCAACCCGGCCAATTTGAAATGAGATGTATATGTCTATACGCGCCTTGGGACGCTGAGCTCAAATATGTGTTCCTTATCTGCTGAACTCTTCTCTGAAAGGAATTATGAAGCAGAAAAGCGCAGGGGCTGTGGTCGAGGCTCACGAAAAAGAGGTCAGGGGATCGACTCCCTGGCGAGTTTGTTCTTTTGCCGTTTGCAGTAAGATAGCTAGGAAGATTCCTAACATCGCTAGTCCAACATGCTTGCGTATAGCTAACCGTACAAAGAATTAAGGGCAATTAATAACGAACTTGGGCGGCATCGCTCCTCACCAGTTTGGACGCACTTTGATATTCGTAATCAGGGAGTCCAGACTCTCCCTTTGAGCAAACTTCTAGCGAATTCTGAAATTTTGACCTAACCTCGAAAATTTGGGCAGTCACTTACTCACCGATCCACCAATCCATTACAAAAGGCTGGCACTTGGGTAGAATAAACCTTTTAAACACTTTCATAATAGACAAAAATTGTGTCTGGCTTGCCCGTCTGCATCATCCAAAGATCTGCAAAGCATTATTTCCTAATACAACACCTTCTCTCCCCTTTCCCCCGTCGTCCATGATTGGTCAACCCAAAAAAGTGGAGTTTGAGGAGTGGTAATCCCATCACTGCTCCGCTTTTTCTCAATTAGTTCATGACCTCAGGTTTGGCGAAAAACTCGTTTTAGGGGTAGTTTGATCCCCTGAATACGAATATCGTACTTGCCACGGGAAAAGCATAGCACCTGCACTACGGGCACCATGTGGCACTAACAGACAAGTAGTGCTTAAGTTAAGAGAATCTGCTTGCAAACTCTTCGTAGATGTAGCGTCGGGCGACCGTTGATAAAATAACGGATTCAAAAAGGCTTTTCAGCCATGTTGGAAAAAAGCAAACCCCGTAAGGAACCGAACCCGCGACCACTGACTTGAGAAGCAAGACCGCTACCAACTGCGCTACCGAAGCTCACAACACCAGTGCCTCGGTTCTCCTTTCGATACTTTTATATGCGGCTAACATGTGATTGCAGCAAAACACTGAAAATCAAGGGCGGCAACAAAAACCCTCCGTAACTCCTTTCAGAGAAGAGTTCAGCAGATAATGAAAGCAGATTTGAGTTCAGCGTCTCATGCTGCGTACAGAAATGTGCACCTCATTTCATTTGGCCGGGTTGGCCTAATGACCTTTCCTGGTCAGAAGAAAAATTCTTGATTCATGAAAAATCGAGAGGATTCTGAAAGGGTTCATGTGAAATTACAGGGAGGAGTACACTATTCAACAAGAAACGCAGCCTTCAGCGTCAAATTCACAAGCATGTAATCGTTAAAGTTGAGACCGCTAAACAATTTTACACTTTTTGGAAAGAGAAAAGCACGAGGATTCCGAATCTGCTCCCACTTTAGTATATAATCGCCCTGAAAGGAGCTAT